ATTCAAAAATCTGCAGATAGGGATCGTAAAAACTTAGCAAACAAGGTTGGAGACACTGTAGATATTACTTACTCAAACTACAAATTAATATTTTGAATCCACCAAATGTAATTTTAGGTAAAAGCATGGAGTTAAAATAAGGGTTTGTAGTTTGAGTAAGTAATGTCTACAGTGTCTCCAACCTTGTTTGCTAAGTTTTTACGATCCCTATCTGCAGATTTTTGAATTCCCAATTTTTTATTTATCTTGTGTGTGTGTGTATATATATAGAGAGAGACTTTAACTAGAGGAATGCCAAAATCTATGCGTTGTCTTTTGATATCATTCTCTGATTTTAAAAGTTTGATATATCGCGCAAGAACAAAATTAAGTCATCTTGGTGTTTTCATTGAATGGATATGTCGGTGACTAGACTGATATAAACATTATTTTGACCTACCACACTGGATTTTGGAAGGGTTCATCCCTACATTTTCAAACATAGATTCATTTTGTTTTCAAAAATTAACCAATCTCCACATCTTTAACAAATGATTTTTACATCTGTTAGATTCCTTGCAAATCCCTCAGCAAGATGCGATTTTTTTTCCAGTAAAAGGAATCGCTAGCAATAACTTTAAAAAAAAACACGACATTCATTGGAACACATGGAACAATAATCAGCTGTGAGCTAAGCATTTGGCATTTAGAAACTCCAAAGCTTCAAATTTCTCTGTTGATTTGTGATTTGCTATATGAAGTGCTTTTTTAATTACAAATAGTGACACATTACAGAGATATGACGCTAGGCCTACTATGATGCACCAAACAACATACGCAACTTCTAGTCAAGGCAAATCGTGTTGAAGCAAACAGCTTCCAGCAAAAATAATACACTGAATAAACGAACCAATTAATATTAACTTCCGTTCAGAGTAAGCTACCTACTTAGATCAAAAATAAACCCGTAATGAACACAGCTAGTTTAAATACGTCTTTACGTTCCTACTTATAAATATTATGATGGAACATTGTTTCATCAGTTAGTACCCTAGTTGTTAACGATATTTTTGAGGGGCCCGTTTCTTCTTTATTGGTAATATAACGAATATCATTAGTTTAAGCAAATCGTATTCAATTTTTGTCCTGTGGGAAAGTTAAATCTTTTACCTGTAGTGGACATTTTAGTACAGGTTTTGTCTTAAGTCGATATCAAACGGCTGTTTTACTACAAGGTGCATAGGTAATAACAAATCTAATAATTATTCTACTTGTCAGCTCTCTCTTATATGACCACAGTTCAAAAACATTTTAATTACTTCTCCTGCATCTCAGTATACGTTACCTACTAAAACTCATTGGATTCTTATGTACCAGCTGCCCAGTGTCGGCTAACAATACGAATAATTAAATTGTGGCGAAATGCTACAAGTTCTTCAAATAC